GTATCTTCCACTGGAAGGAAGCTAAGTTGAAAGTCTTAAGTAATTTATGCTTTTTACTTCCTAGGGCTTTATTTACAAAGCACTTGCTATTGGTTTCTTTTTTTTTCTTTTCAATATTAAAAAATGTTTTCCCTCTCCTCTATTGTTCTTATTTTTTCATTACCTTTTTCAAATTCCTTTATTGTTCCCCATCTTCTCTTTTCTCCCTTATCCAAGTGTTCCACCTCGCTTAACTGCTTTAGCAATTAAGAGTATTAAATAGGCTAATAAATACATGACATCCTTAGCCATAAAGGAAATGCAAAATGAAACTACACTGAGATTCCACCTCACCCTAGTCACATTGGCAATCATGAAGAAAACAAACAAGGCCAGCAAGGGTGGCTCATGCCTATAATCCTACCTATTTGAGAGGGTGAGATTAGGAGGATTATGGTTTGAGGCCAGTCCAGGCAAGTAGTTCGAAAGACTTCATCTCCAGAATAACCAGAGGAAAAAGGACTGGAGGTATGGCTCAAGTGGTAGAGCACTGCTACATAAGCACAAAGTTCTGAGTTCAAACTCGAGTCCTACCAAAAAAGAAAACAACAAATGCTGGAGAGAATGGATGGGAAAGGGAGAGCAGGAACTTTCAATATACTGTTAGTAGGATGGTAAACTGGTGTAACCACTATGGAAATCAGTATGGAGGTTCCTCAAAAAACTAAAAATAGACCTAAGTTATGACCTCATCATATCACTCTTGGGCATTTATCTGAAGGAGTATAAATCAATATACAAGAGAGATACCCTCATACCCATGTTTATTACAGCTCTGTTCACAATAGCTAAGGAAAAATGGAATTATGTCATTCACTGGAAAATGGATGGAAATGGAGATCATCATGTTGAGAGAAGCCAAGCTCAAAAAGCCAAGTAGCACATGTCCTCACTTATTTGTGGGACGTAGACCTAAAATGATGACGATGATGATAATGGGATATAAATTTGAAAGGGAAATGGTCTGAGGGAGGAAAGGAAAGGATATTGAGGGGGGAAGAGGATCAAAATACACCATATGTATATGTTCAAAGACAGCATAATGAAACCTTCCAGAAACTTATAAAAAGGGGGATGAGGGGAGGAAATGGGAAAATAATGCTCAAAGTACATAGTACACATGTATGGAATTACCACAATGAAGCCCCTTCATATAAAAAGTGTATACTAATTCAAAATATAATAAAACTATTTTTTTAAAAGTACTAAATACCCTTCTTTTGAATAACTAGACATCTTGTAAAGTACAACAGCAAAATGTTCATAGGTACTGCTACTAGAGCTGTGCTTCAAGCCAGCTAATGGCAGTCTATTGCACACAAAATTCTCATTAATTTTCTTATTTACTTTTGAATGTATTGAATGTAATACTTTATAGTTCAGTAAATCCAGATTAAATGACTGTACTTAATTTAAGGTAAATTTAATTGTCAACTTCTGAGGTAAAGGAATATCGAGAAACAAATAAAAATTAGGAATGTATTCAGAAATGTAGCAGCCTAAGGGAAGCAAGTTGCATAGTGGTTAATACACAGATTCAAGGGCCAGACTGCCTATGTTTGAATGAAACTTCATCCCTCATTAGATAGGACATTGGGTACATTTCTTTCTTTTCTTCTCTTCAGTTTCCTCATCTGTAAATGGAAAGAAAATTTTTCCCACACACACAAAGTTGTTACAAAGATTGAATTAATTTATAAAAACCACTTAGCTGTGTGTGGTGGCTCACAGATATGATCCTAGCTACTCAGGAGGCAGACCTTGGGAGAATTATGGTTAGAAGTCAACCTGGGCAAAAAGTTATCGAGATCCCCATCTCAACAGATGGCACACACCTGTGGTCCCAGTTATGCAGGAGGCATAGGTAGAGGATCAAGGCCAAGGCCTACCCCAGGGTCAATATGAAAGACCCTAACTGAAAAATAATGAAGAACCACAGAAAAAGGGAGGGGGTGTGGCTCAAGTGGTAGAGTGCCTGCCTAGCAATCATGAGGCCCTGAGTTCAAACTCCAGTACCACCATCACCAAAATAAAAGCACTAAATCAGTGTCTGAGAATAGTAAGCAAGTAAGCACTACATAGATGTCAGTTACTATTACTCCAAATTATAATAATGAGTAGATCAAGGCCCCCAGAAATATGTTAGTTCTCAGAAATATGTTTTCTTGGAATGTTTATTATGATTTTTTAAAGGATCTAAACTGTGGTTTGGATTACTCCAAGAAAAAATGTTTGACTTAAAAACTGATTAACTTTTTAAGAAAGAAACCATTCTGTATGACCCAGTACAGAGAGTGAAATTCATTAACAGGAGATGTCTGCTGCCATAAAAACCATTAAAGAAAATCCTGAGTGTGATGTTAAACCCAGCTCTGAAACACATGCTTTACATTATTGTCCTATCAGTTCTCCAGTTCCTGGCATCTGTCACTGAAGCAGAGGGACTCCTCCCCCTCCCACATTCTTTGTTACTCCTTTTGACTTAGATAAACGACCTTCAAACTAACTATTGGGAAACTTTTTCTAGGCTTTAGTTGTGATTGTTATTTAAAGTGATAGCTGTGAAAGACTGTCAAAATATCTTTAACACTGTGCTTTTCAAAAAGAAAGGATAATTCCCATTGAAAGTAATAGTTGGAAGTAATACTGAGTTGATAATAGAACCCCAGATATAAGAAGGGAAAAGTCTATGAGCTCATGGATGATATTCATTGCCAAGGCAGGGGAGTCTGTTCCAGGCACAAACTGGTTTTGCTTGCTTCATTCTGCTGAGTATAATTCAGTTTCAGCACTGGGGGCAAAGTACACTGGGCAGTGCCCCAGCAGATTACTTTTCCAGCAAGAAAGACTATGGCACGTCTGCTTCTCTACATTAATGGCCAATTCACAGACATCTAATAGTCTGGCTTTCATTGAAGATGTTACTGACTTGACTGTTTATTCTACATGTGCTGCTTCTAAGTAAAGTGTCTGAACAAAACTTTTACCTAATTTTATTTTATTGCCTATACACAAGTTATGGCAGCTTTATCCAAAGTGGAGATTAATGAAACACGTGAATATAAAGTGCAAGTCAGATGCTGGTGGCTCACTCTTGTAATCTTAGCTACTTGGGAAGCTGAGATGGGAAAAACCACTGTTCAATGCCAGCCCAGGCAAATAGTTCTGGAGATTCCATCTCCAAAATAATCACAGCAAAATGGACTGGAGGTGTGGCTCAAGCGATAGAGCACCTGCTTTGCAAGCAGGCTGGGTTTCATACTTCCAAACCCCACTCCCACCAAAAAATAAAGTACAAATTTGCATTTTGAACTGAAAAGCATTTTTCAGAGAAGTTGTAACAAGTTAAAACTTCAGAATTTAATATAGCATAATCTGGTGAAGCAAAAACAGGCTTGGAGTCAGACTGGTGGGTTTGGAGTCCTACCTTGCATGGTTCCTACTCATCTGAAGTTGTGAAAGTTATTTAATCCCTCTAGCCTACGTCTTCAAATATAAAATGGGGACAATATAGACAATAAAACCTTGCAAGAATTCAGTTAGATATATATGTGAAAAGAATGCCTACTTCCTACTAGACAGATAGGAAAAAAAATGTCTCTCCAACATTCTGTGGAATACCTCCCTTCCCCGTAGGGGTGGTGGGAACAGAACACTAAATTTCAGAAAAATGGTCAAGGTTTTCAGTAAAAGAAAAATTCATGTTGAAATGATTATCAATAGAGTACTTCATAGGCAGTGGGGGTTAGGAGTAACCCTCAATCAGTTCAATAATGACCTTGGCTATTAATTCTATGGTAACTAAATCTCGAAGTACAAAACTTGGAGATTTTCTTTATTATAAATAAAAATATTTGTATAGACAGAAAAGAGAGTGAGGGACCTGAAAATTTTGCATCATTCTATGAATAAAAATCCTCCATAAACGATATTTGTACTCAAGTTACTAAGAACTTATGTATGGGAAACCACATCCGCTTTCTCAGAACTTGAACCCCAGGAAAGCCTTCAGGATGGAAACCTAATATGGGAATGGAGGTTGGACCAAGTTAATTCTAGAGGCCATCCAAGACCATCTCCGAAGATGCAAAAATCTACGTGGAGCAGAAGAGGACAAGGGACGTCGTGGGCCTTCTCCAAGGAAGAGGGAGGAAAGGACAGCAGGAACCAAGGACTTCCCTGGGGGACCCAACGGCCTTCCCACAGTCTCAGGGGCTCACTTCACACCCTTGGAATCAGAACCGTCTGTGCACCAGATAGATAGCTGAGCTTGGCAGCAGCCCATTCCGCCCCGCCGGTGGTCCTGTCCCAGGTTGGCCTCCCCTTCCTGCTGGCCCGGACTGCTCAGCACCAAGGCCACGGAAAAAGCAGCCGGGCTCCAGGAGCCCGGGTGCGGTCACCGACAGGCGTTCCTCCCGCGCCCGCGCGCCGAGGCAGGAAGTGAGCCACGGGAACAGACCGAGCCTCGCCCGGGAGATACGGCTGCTCAGCGCTGGACACTCGGAGGGATACTTCAGGGGTCAATTTTACTAACTACCCCTCTCCAACAAATCTGTTTCTGTCAATCTGTCCAGAAAAATAACGGCGGAGCAGAAAGACACAGTTTAAAAAAAAACAACACAACATCCAGACTGGTGTGGTGGCGCGCGCCCGTAGTCCCAGAGCTGGGGACCAACCTGGTCAACTACGTGAGACCCCGAGTCTCAAAAACAAACAAAAAAGCCACAGCATCGGACAACCGCGACAGTCCGGAAAGTCTCACTCACCTGTCAGCTTTGGGGGCGGGCACAAGGCCTCCCAAAGTGGAGCGGGGGAGGAAGACGTTGTACGCAAGCGCACGCCGTCTCCCGCCCGCCACGCCCCCTGCATTCCGTCACACGTCACTAGCTCCGCCCACCTCCTACGCCCGCCACGCCCATCGAGCTTCTGCTTCTTCCAGGCCCGCCTCGCCTCACGCTGCGCTGCGCCTCCCAGCCCGCGGCGTCGCTGTACCGGCCTCTGAGCTCCACAAACACTGCCAGCGCACGGGCGAGGGCGGGAGGCGGGGCGGAGCGGTAGGGGGCGGTGTCGCCGCGGTGTAGGGGCAGCTGCGAGCGGTGGTCGCTGCGCGATGGCCGCGTCGGTGTTCTGCTGCCTGCGCTGCTGCAGGGACGGCGGGACGGGCCACATCCCGCTGAAGGAGATGCCGGCCGTGCAGCTGGACACGCAGCACATGGGTAAGGGCACTCCCTTCCCCACACCCAACGGCCCGCGGGGGTCCGGCGCGGCGCGCCGGGGACAAGGCAGGGGTAGGGAGGACCCCGCGCAGCCGTCTGGCCCGCCTCGCCCGATGACGCTGCTTCGACACCCTTTGGTCTCGTGGACCTCGCCGGCCACTGGCGGACTCCACCCGGGGCCAGGTTCTGTGTTCAAGGCTGCGCAGCCGTCCCGGTGGCTGGCGTCGGGAGGGGGTGTATTGACCTCCCCATGTCCTCCTCGCGAACTGTCAGGTGACCCCCGTAGGCTAGGGGAGCGGGGACGCCTCCAACCACAGGAGTCCTCCAGTCGCGCACCTGTCAAGACCCACGCCTTGTCTTGTACCCAGACTGTTTCTGTGCAGCCCTGTGGTCTGTAGGATGAAGCCGGTTTCACTGGAAGTAATTCTCCCTCATCTCCTAAAGCCAAACAGGGCAGATTGCAGAAGCCTAAAGTTGCGTGCCATTCCACCGAAACCTCCCACTGACTGTAGTCAGTGTTGGAGGCACTGTAATTTCACCTCACTGGCCCCTTCCCCCACCAAGTCAGGCCATTGCAAAATAAAATAGCAGTTTGCTCCTTTGCATCCATGTTTTGTTCCTTTTTCCTGCCAATTAACTTCCCACCTAACATTCTTCCTCTTCCTCTCCATTGCTTCTTTTACCTGCCTATTATTAGTTCTCTTTTTACTTTTCCTCTATATTTCTTTGCTTCAGGAATGTGATCCTAACAGGAGAGATTCCTCAATATTTCGATTAGAGTACTGTCTTTTGTGGATTATTTTATTCTAAATATATTTCTGCACTTTTGATTTTTTTCCCCTGTATCTGTCATTCTCTAAATGACAGTGCATTGGAATAACAAAGGCAGTTCTTAATACTTATTGAGAAACCCTCTTCTGCCCAGATTCTTTATAATTCTGGAAACACTGCCCATTGTATTTCTGTATTTCCATAGCTCATAGTAAGTGCAATAATTGTTTACCATCTCGTACCTGGGTATTTGCAGTACTTTCAAATCTTCATTGTATCAAGTGTAGTACTCAATACATACATACCTCAGTACATGCATACATAATACAGTAATACATAAATAATAGATCTTGAAATTATTTCTTATCCATCATCATTTATAGAAAGTAGATGCTTGTCCTGTAATTTCCCTCAGAAAATATTACTCATTCACTGAACAGATGTTTATTGACTGACTGTCTGATGGCAGGCATTGTTGTTAGTGCTAAGACTATAGTAAAAGACACCCGTAGGCAGTTCTGGGGTCTTGTGAGCAGACTAGCTCTTTTTCCTGTCTCTGCTGTTAAATTCTTGAATTCCTGCAGTCTGCTCTGTAGTGCATTCTTTTCCTCTTGCTTCTGTCTTCTCTAGAAAGAACTTGTCTGTGGTACTCATATTTTCTTTTTCCAAAGCTGCCCAGCACCTTTCAGGTCCTAAGAGGATGAAGTAGAGTGATACTGTGCCCAAATTTTTTTTTCCTGAGTGGACATTTTTTCTTTAAAAACTTGAAAAATTCATCTTCAATCGCAGAGAAGCTTGATTGAGAACCTGAATAAAGTGAAAGAGAGGACAAGGTTGTTGAGTTAGAAGAGCATGTTTCTGGCAAGAGTTGATCTTAAATTGAAAATCTGGGAAGCACACTGAGTAATTATGCATGAATTTGAATATGTGAAAGGTTACACAGGTAACCTAAAGAATGTAATTCCTTGTTATTGTTGTTTTGAGAAGGGAGTCTTATTATGTTGCCAAGGCTAGTCTCTAACTCATGGCTTAAGCCATACTCCTGCCTCAATCTCCAGAGTAGCTAGGACTACAGGTGAGCACTACCATGCCCAGCTTCACCTTTTTTTTAAAGAAAATATATACATTTCATCTAAACGATGCCTCTTTCACAATAATCAGTTATTTTGATGTCCTTGAATTACTTAAAACCATTTTGGAACTCCTCTTTTGGAATTTTCTGTGGTATAGTTTTTGTGAATATCTTCATTTTTTGGTGTGATATCTTTTGATTTTAATTGTGAATTCACTTTCTAGAAACAAAATGCCTTCCAAGGTAGCGACTTTGAAAAGAATGCTACTCATTTAGAAATTTCTAATGTTTCTTAAAACACACTCTGACTATATTTATATGGTGTTTTGGCTGTACTCAAATTTGCCTTGACTTTCCAAGCAGTACCGAGGTTAATAAAACTATGTAAATCACATAGACCCAAATGAAAATGTCTTTGTACTTAGTAAGGAGAACTGGAGTAAGTTTAAAGTGATTCCCTAATAAATCACAAACACCCCAGAATGTTTTCTGAAAGTATTCATTTTTCTGTACAAAACATCTCACTACTGACGGAATGCTTTGGAAGTAAGAAATGATTCTAAAATAAGAGAAGAATATGGTCAAGGTTGTTTCTGTAGTTCCATCTCACAGAGGAGACTATATTGCTTTGAGAGTCTTCTGATACGTCCATTAACTTAGCAACTTAGGATGAAATCCAAGATAATAAGTTATTTATTATAGAAGCTGGTCATTAGAAGGATTTAGTATGTGTGGAGGACCACAGACTATTGCCTGTTAAGAAAAAGAAAATACCATAATCCTTGTACTCCTTCAAAATGTGTTTTCGTAAGGATGTTGCAAACAGTGAAAACTAAAACTCAGAATTGTTTGACCAACAGAGGAAATTTATTAGTTCATGTAACTAAAAAGCACAAAGGCAGCACTGGCTTCAGGAAAGACTCAGTGCTGCCAAGAACTCAAGTTTCTTTTCATGTATTTCCTCTGTCTTCTGCTGATTTCTGAAGGCTAGCCTTCATGACTGCTTGCAGGAGCCCTCTGGGCTGTAGGCTTCCTCATTCAGGTCTAGTAAGAATGAAAGAGCCTCTTTCCCATGGTTCTCTGCAAAAGCCCTGACACTTTCTCTGATTGTTGTTTGTTAGGTCATGTAACTGTTCTTGATTCAATCACTGTAGCCAAGAAATGTGGATTGTACTGATTGACTTAACCCAGGTCAAATGTTGTACCCCTGAAGCCAGAGACTGAGTCAGCTTCCATGGAACTGTTTGATCTCCAGAGGGAAGTCTGTCCCAAAAGGGAAAGCAGATGCTACTTGTCAACTGCAAAGTGCTTAGCACAGCCTATTTATTCTTTCATTACCATGGCAGTTATTTGCAGAGCATTTGCTAGATATCAAACACAACAGGGTCTTGGCCATCAGAGAAGATGCTCTCCATTTGGAACTATTAGAGGTATGTGGAGTAGCTAGATAAAAATTATTTATAAGGTTCTTTCCCAGAATTTGGATCTAATGAATTTTTAAGTTGTGCAATAAGCTGGGCACAGGTGGCTCATGCCTATAATCCTAGCTACTTGGGAGGCTGAGATTGGGAGGATCATGGTTATAGGCCAGCCTGGAGAAATAGTTTGAGAGACCCTATCTCCAAAATAACCAAAGCACAATGGGCTGAAGGTACTGGGGTTTGAATTCAGGACTTCATGCTTGTTTGGCAGACTCCCTACTGCCTGAGCTATGCCTCCAGCCCAAGAGAGTACCTCTTATTTATCACAAATAATTTTTGTTTAAATATCAATTTAAACTTTTGTTTCTGTTCTCTAGTTTTATTCAACCCACACCAGAGGAGTCCTATATAGTTCTAATATCAATACCTGCTCAGCTTACAGACTTTTTTCTTAAACCATCATGGTAGTAATATTGGCCACAGGCTTAGGAGTCACGTGCCTTGTTATTAGAATTATGTTAAATCTCTTCGCATTCTCTGATATACATGCTCTCCCAAGCCAAGATTTAGAAGTGAATTTATAGTGGGGTGACATATCCAGAGATGCTGTTTTTCTTGCTGTTTTAGTTTCAGCTCAAACAAAATTTATAGATTTTGTTTGAGCTGAAACTAAAATTTTTCATGAGAATCACGTGCATTTAGTGATGTTAAAACCTTGTTGAAGTGGGATATTATGGTGCACATCTGTAATTCCATTCACTTAAGAGGCAGGATGATCACAAGTTTGAGGCCAGCCTGGGCCATGTAAAGAGCCACCCCGTCTCAACAACAACGACAGAAATCCTGGGGAGAAGAAGAGGGCCCAAACAATGTATACACATATGAATAAATGTATAAACAGTAAAAATTTTTTTTAAATCCTTCATTTACATATTTGCCATATAATGGACAGTAGTTATCCCTTCTTTGTTTTTTAGGGGGGTTTTGTTTTTTGGTTTTTTTGGTGGTACTGGGGGTTGCACTCAGGGCCTTGAGCTTGCTAGGCAGGTGACTGCCACTTGAGCCACTCTACCAACCTGACATTCAATAATAAAAATTTTAAGATCCTAAAATGAGCATTCTTCAATGTCAGCTGTTTCAGCAGGGTATACGTGTTCTGTTCCATGTTGTGCACTCTTCAGCTCTTGACTAATATATTTAGTATAGTGCCTTGTACTTAGTATGCACTTAGCTGGGTTTTAGTAAACTCATCTGGATAGAATTGAAAATTGCACCAATTTACTAAATCTTCTTTTAAGTGTTTATGGCTTAGCTTAAATTAAGAGATTTACTTAATCATCAAATTTGTTTATTGGTTAAAAATTAAAGGAATTAGTCTATTTCTACCTTACAAGTCTTTTAAATATTCAGTATACTTCAGAGTTACTGTATTTTATTTGAGACAGCTTTATTAAATAAGACTCACATCTTTAAATGAATATTTTATATGAATGTTCTTTTTAAAAATTCAGTGAATTAAATGTTTAAAATAATTTATCAGTATCACTATATTTCACAGTACTCATAGCATCCCTATTCTTCATGGAATAAGCATTAGAGATAAATTAACCATAATTACTAGATATGAAATATAAAACTTTACACTGTGTCTTCTTTCTTTTTAGGAACAGATGTTGTCATTGTAAAAAATGGAAGAAGAATATGTGGAACAGGAGGCTGTTTAGCTAGTGCACCTTTACATCAAAACAAAAGCTACTTTGAATTCAAAATCCAGTCCACAGGTTAGTGTGATGGCACTTTACTATTAAACTTCCTAATTTAGAATATGTGAAAAATATTCAACAGATAATTTTTTTAAAAGTCAGAAACTCTTAGAAGGCCTGAGCTTCCACTATTGTTTGTGATCCTGGTTAAATTAGTCAATTTTGTTAAATTCGGTTGTTTTCTCTTCTATGAAGTGGGGATTATAGGAGCTGCCCTTTCTGCCTCACAGGCCATATGTATATATGCCTTACATATATATATATATGAAAGTGCTTTAATTCTGTGAGAGTATTATTATTTTCACCTCCTAATCACTCTCATGGCTTTCCTCCTTGGGAGGATAAAGTATACCACCAAATTATTTAGGAGGCCAAATGGTAAAGCCAAGACATGCAATTTTCTAACACTGTCAATCCAGAAAAATTAATACACTGGCAACATGGTCTTCAGATCTTTTTCCATGTGTAAGCGTTCTCCTGATTTTTAATAAAAACTGAGAAGGAAGTGATTTGTGAGAAAATGTAGAGCTCTAGGTATTCTGCTTGGGTAGTTAAGAGAAAGCTGCTGTTGGGAGTGTAGCTCAGTGGCAGAGCACTTGCCTAACATGTTCAAGGCCCTGGGTTCAATCCCCAGCACCATGAGAGAGAGCGAGAGAGAGAAAGAGAGAGAGAATAGCTGCTCATTTCAAAAGTCAGCTTAGACCAAAAGGTTTTAGACTCATCAACTTAAAGTATTGGGGAAGAAAATGATTTTATGCCTTATGGTTAATTTTCTCTTCTTCATGGTATTAATATAAACATGTATTATTTTTTACTCATTGTAAGTTTAAAAACTAAAGACGGTAATCTCCCACATCTCAGCTGTACATCTTGAAAGAACTCCAGACCATGTAAATTCAATGTTGTTTTTCTTTTTTGTGGTGGTGATCAAACCCAGGGCCTTGTGCATGTTAGGCAAGCTCTCAACCACAGGGTATACAAGATGCCTTGTACACAGAACCTCGACTTTGTGGCACTAGTGCCAAGGTAAAAGGCATCTGTGAACAATGAGGGAAGTTTTCTAATAACAAGGGTATTGAATTTTAAAAAATACAGTATTTTAGAGAGATTAAAGAAAGTGTAGAAATTTTAAGATTTTTAATTGTGGTCTTCTCTTTCTTATAATTTAAAAAATATGAAAACAGCTAGTTTTTAATTGTTCAAAGGGTTTTTTCCCCCTAAGTTGACACAAAAGGCTAAAAATCTTAAAATCTTTTAAAAAAAGAGCAATGAAAATAGCTAGCATTTTTAAATACTTAGTGCGTGCTTTACTAACCCAGTTTTTTGAATGCTTACACTATTCCAAGTGCTTTGTTTGGTTTATCTTGTGTCTTTTCCTAACCTGTGAAGTTAGTACTATTAGACTCCACAAATGAAACAGAGAAAGGTTAAATACTTTGTCCAAGATAACATAGCTAAGTCATGATAACCTCAGCAATACAACTCCAGGGCCCCACTGGCTTATCTCATAGACTGCACTTAATCTGTAGAAAACATCATGCACTTTGCAACCTACTTTTAAAAGATTTTCTAAAAGATTAAGTAGGTTAGTAATAATATGCTTATAAAATATTTTATACTCCCTTTAAAAATAGCTCCTTTATGTTTATATTCTTCAGATTTGCAGGGCATTTAAACTATTTTATTCTTAGGAATCTGGGGTATTGGTGTTGCAACTCAGAAGGTTAACCTGAATCAGATTCCTCTTGGCCGAGACATGCACAGTCTGGTGATGAGAAATGATGGAGCCCTGTACCACAACAATGAAGAGAAAAACAGGCTGCCAGCAAACAGCCTTCCACAGGAGGGAGATGTGGTGGTGAGTGTCCTGGGGGGTTGCTGTCTGCTGTCAACATGGTTATTAAACTGGAGCTGCTTTGAGTAGACATGGTTTTGCCTGGAAGTTTGTGGTTTAGATTCGAAAGTCCTAGGGTTGGATTAAATGAGGTGGTGCAGTTTCTAGAGAGAACACCTGGTGTAGATGCCACTGCCTCACCTTACTGCTCTGTCCCTTCCAGAGCTGCCCACAGCCCAGGACATTAGAGAGAGTCTTACTCATACACAGGAGGATTAGTGGCATGTTGACATATTCTATTTTTGTCACATCAGAGAAAACTTGACCTTGTGATTTTAAAAGTTTACTGACCTCATAGTAGGAAATGTTAGGGTATTTTTGAGGTTAGAGAACTCTTAAGAGAGAATTTTCACATTTAGAATTTGTTGTGAAGATCTGCTAGAAAATTACAACATATTATCAAAGGATTGGTCTTCATTAAACTTAATCCTAAGGCTTGATTGTAGAAAAGTAAGAATAACATGTTAAGACTTCGCTTTTATTTCCAATAGGACAAGTAACTCTTTACCAAAGCCATATATTGAAAATATAACCCAAAGATTCCTTTCTCTTCCCCAGGTACTTTCCCTCATCCCATATCCAAGTCTAAGAACTCTGTCTATAGAGTCCAGGCTATTAGCTATTGATTGGGAACAGAGTTATTGAGTCTTGTTTAGCCAAGTTGCCCTTGTCTTTCTGACTCTGGTACCAAGGTAAAAGAAATCTGTGAACAATGAGGGAAAGTTTCTAATAATAAAATGACACAGGAAAGACAAATCCAGCATATTGAATTAAAGAAAGATACAGTATTTTAGAGATCATGAAGAAAGGTGTAGGGATTTTAAGATTTTTAATGATGGTCTGATCTCTTTACTGTAACTTAAAAAATATGAAGAACAGTTCGTTTTTAATTGTTCAAAGTTTTCCCCCTAAACTGGCTAAAGGAGACCAAAGTCATTAACTATATTTAAAATCTGCTGTTCCCTGTCTTTTTTGTTTTAATAGTTGGTTCTGTGTTTGTAGATCATTGCCAGATGTCCATAATATGACATTTTATTCAGATATTTTCTTAAGAGGATCTTGAAGTCAGGTTGAGGCAGTCAACCTATTTATACTAAAATATGAAACGTTTTTCTTTGTTGATATACTGATCTTCTATGTGTTATTCTCATCTTCCTATCTCATCTTATTCACTGAGACAAATTGACAGATCTAAGAACACCATTTTTAGTCTGTCAGCATTATTAAATTAGGCTTTGAGTTTTCATGCCAATTCTGATAAAAGAACTAAAAAATATGAAATACACGTGAACAAATTTTGCCACATTGTTGACTGTGGCATAGGGAAAGGAGAATGAATTACAAGACAGGAAAAATATTGTCATGTGTATTTTTATATCATTATGGTAGAGTCAAAGTCAGTTTCTAGATCATATAAAGAGCAAATTAGTCTAGAAAATACTTGAACTAAACTCAGCCAGGGTGATAAGGGCTCTTACATCCTTCCTCATTTCTGTCTGGTTTGGGGTTTTGCTGTTATGCTGGAGGCTGGGGTTTAAAACTTGCTTGCTTATAATAGAGTACGCTGCCACTGGGTGATAAAGGATTGCAACCTAATTTTTCTGAACTTCTAGATTTCCTGTAGTCCCACAAAGACAGTAACACTTTCTTTTTTATATAACTATGTTTCTGGTTTTTTTTTTTTTAATTAAAACAGACGTCTTTCTTAAACGAACTAATTAATCCCAGGCATTGGTTAGCTTTTTTATATTTAAATAGATAAGCTAAAATGAAACAAAGGCAATCTATATACTGTTTAATATAACCCTAGCTTTGCTAAAATTTGAGGAGCATCTGTTACAGCACTTAACACATTGACTTTTCTGGGTCTTTTATTGTTTTTCCTGAAAAGGGAGGGAGTTAAGGTGAGGTACTCTATCTGTAAAATCTTTTTCTACCTCCAAAAGGTAGAACAATTGATCCACATTGAAAAATCCCCGAAGTGGTTTGCTACTTGGTCTGCCATGATTTATTTATCAACTGAAAGATCTCTGTTGTCTCTTCTTTTCTTAAATGTTGCTAGAGATCAAACCTAGGACCTTACGCATGCTAGGCAAGTGCTCTTCTACTGAGCTACATCCCTAGTGCATGGTATCTATTCTTCATTCTTCAAAGAAAAGATCTCTTTATGTCATCAGTTAGTAAAGTAACTACAGGTTGAGTATCTATTATCTAAAATACTTGGGGGTTTTTTGATGTTGAAATATTTACATATTCAACATATTACATATTTACATAGGGATGGGACCTAGTGTAAACATGAAATTCATTTATGCTTCATTTATACCTTATAAACATAGCCTGAAAGTAATTTGTACTATTTATTTGTTTGTTTATGTATTTATTGGTGGTACTGGTTTTTTGAACTCAGAGCTTATAAAGCAGGTACTCTACCACTTAAGCCACACCTCCAGTCTACTTTGATCTGGATGAGATCTACTCAGACTAGCTTTGAACTGTGATCCTCCCAAACTCTCAGGTAGCTAGGATTACAGGTGTGAGCCACCAGTGCCAGTTTATATAGAATATGTTTAGTGTGCCTGTGTTTTTACTGTGACCCATCATATGAGGTCAGCTATGGAACTTTCCACTTGTGGTACTGTGTTGGCCCTCAGAAAGTTCCAGGTTTTGGAGCATTTCAGATTTCAGATCAAGGAATCTCCACTTGTATTGTATAAGGTTTTAAAGAAAAGTTGTATGGTGTGGTGATTTAGAACAAGTATTATGAAGCCAACCTGCATAGGTTTAAGTCTCAATTTGGCCACTTACTAACTGGACAGCCTTCATAAATTACTTAACCTTTCTGTGCTTCAGCTACCTCATCTGTAAAACAGATAATAACTATCTTGTGAGCATTATATGAGTTAATACAAAGTGCCTAGGATAGTGCTTGGTTCATAATATGGGCTGTCTTAAGTGTTTTCTACCATTTTAATAATTGCTATTATTACTAATTATGATTTTTACTATCAATAGTGTATAAAGTAATACATTTTTATTCCATTGTTTATTTTAAATTTTAAGATATTCTACTTTTTAATTTGATACAAACTACCAATCATATTTTATTATAAATACTAGTTTTGCCTTGGTAATATACTTGACATATTTCAGAGTAAAGAGAATGTATGATTTCTGGGCTGAGTATATGGCTCAAGTGGTAGAATGCCTGCCTAGCAAGCATAAGACCTGAGTTCAAACCCTAATACGGCCTCTCCAAAATGTATGATTTCTTCTTGGAAATGAGTTATATAAAATCATGTCTTCATAACTTTAAAACAATGACGGGTAGTAAGTCCACGGGTGAAAACTTCAGCCCCCTGCTCTTAAGATCAAATTCTATAGAAAGAGCAGTTTCCTTTATGAGTTTAAAAAGTCTGCTCATAAGATGCAACATTCATATCATCTTAACATTCAAAGTGTAAAATCCAGACTAGCTACATATAATTCTAGAATTTCAACTGTTGTCTTTGTTTGAAGTCCTGTGTGGACCATGAGATTTTTACCTGACCTGTTCCTTCCCCTACATCATCACTATTAGGTTTTTGTCTCAGTTCAAGTGGAATTCTAGCAAGTTGTCAATCTGTAATGGAAAACTACTATAATCATATGCTTAGTTTTTTGTTCTCCCGTGTTTCCCAGTCAGCTTCTGGCTATTCGTGTTTTTATGGAACATTTGTGTTTTCATCCTTTTAAATTTTTTCTCTCCTTCATAGGGTATTACATATGACCATGTAGAATTGAATGTGTATCTGAATGGGAAAAACATGCATTGTCCAGCATCAGGTATACGAGGGACAGTGTATCCAGTTGTGTATGGTAAGCTAAAGCATTTCTCATATATTATTAGATGTGTGTTAACTTTTGTTTTACATGTGTGTGTGTGTATGTGTATTTTTTTTTAAGTGCTGGGGATTGAGTCCAGGACCTCATACATGCTCTACCGCTGAGCTACATCCCCAGCCTAATTTGTTTTTTTGGATTTTTTTTTTTTTTGAGACAGGGTATAACTAAATAGACCAGGCTAGTCTCAAACTCACAATCATCCTGCCTCAGCCTCCCAAGTACTGGGATTATAGATATGTTCACCACACCTGGATCACTAGCCTGAAGTTTATAACTGTCATTCCTAAGTTTGCATAAATTGTTAATAAGGACCTTTTTATCTAGAATGTACTCAGTAGACTATTACACTGCCTTTGCAATATTAAGGATAATATTTATTTTTTATATATTGAAAAAGTTTGCTAGATATAATTATTGTACTTAAATATGCAAATAACAATTTCCCTTTTTAAATCATGTAGTCCTATGTTCTACAAAGTTCCAAAAAACTTTATTGAATTACAAAGCTTTCTCTGCCAGTTATAGAAAGGATTAGAAGATCAGGAAATGTAATTATAAAGAATATTTTGGAACTCAAGATGGAAATTATATGTGGTTTGAATTTTTATTACCTTTTAAAATGACCTAAATATTAGAACTCTTCTGAGAGAAATTGTGACTTAGAATATTTCATATTAATTGTTTTGCTTTTGATAGCCAGGTATGAATAAATCCTGCCATTTCTGTACAGGTTTGTCCCTAAGAATGGGGTTGCTTAGGGGACAACTTTGTGCCCCTTAGATAATTTTTATTATAGAAAATTCAAACATATACAGAAGAGAAAATTACAATGAAACCTCAGGTACCCATCACCCAGCTTCAAGCAATTATCAACTTGTAGCCAATCGAGGTTCCTTTACCCCCAACAATTCTCCTGTTCTTTGCCTCACCTTCTTTGATTATTTTGAGGCAAATGCCAGACATTAAATTTTATATTTGGCTCTAGAATATTAATGTCTCTTATCTTTTTTTCAAAAACATAACCACAATGCCTTTATCACTCTGTTCTCTCATTGTTTATGTTACCAACTTTAAACAAACAAATGTATGGTTTTTCCACCTATGGTTTTAGTAAGTTTAAAATATTTTCTTGGGTGGGCGCAGTGTGTCATACCTATAATCCAACGAGATAGAAATCAGGAGGATTGCATTTCAAGGCCAGCCTGGACAAGAAAAGCTAGTGAGTGAGACCCAATCTCAACAAATAAGCTGGGTGCACACCCGTCATGCCAGCTATGTGGGAGGACATAGGTAGGAGGATCATGGTCGGCCACTGGCCTCTGGCAAAAACAGGAGACCCTACCTGAAAAATAATTAAAGCAACAAGGGCTAGCTCTCAAGTGAGAGCACCTGCCAAGCAACCGTGAGGCTTCGAGTCCAAACCCCAGTGCCCCTCACCAAATTTTTTTTCTTATTTAATTACTTTTTAAGTTATTAGATTTAGGTCATAATAAAAACTATTAATTTTCTTTGTGTTACCTTAGTATAAAGATAGCAATGTTAATGATGATGGACTGGTATGTCAGAAAAGTATGTAATAATAAAGATAAACATTTAATAACATAATCAAAGCTGTGATTTACTTTTAAAAAAATTTTTTGAGGGTGCCCGGCTAGCTCAGTCGGTAGAGCATGAGACTCTTAAAAAATTTTTTTGATGGGACTAGGGTTTAAACACAGGCTTTCTCTTGCAAAGCAGGCACTCTGTCACCTGAGCCACACATCCAGTCCGTTTTGCTCTGGTTAATTTGGAGATGGGATGTAACAAACTGTTTCCCCAGGCTGGCCTTGAACCACAATCCTCCTGATCTCAGCCTCCCTAGTTGCTAGGGATTACAAGTGTGAGGCAGTAGTTAGTTAGTTAAGAATAACTTTTCAATGATTTTTTACCTTCTGTGTCTTTTCATGTAAAGTTGTGATTTTAAATTCAGTTTAGGTTAGTGTTCTTGTATACGGGGTAAGCCTAAAAGCAATCTCTTTATATACTTAAATAGATGGAAATGTACCTTGTTAGTTTAAATAGCTTAGCCTGAGAAATGAAATAAATATCAGTAGCATGACAGAGTTACATATGCAAGTGTACCAAATAAAACTATTCAGAATTGCCCCTTTAATTCAGCATTATGAATATTTTTAATGAAGCAAAGTTACAGATAGTAAACTATATGTAATAAAGTATATTTCATAAATTGAATTTGATAAATCAATCCAATTAAACCAAAAAAAGGTTTTTGGCAGTACTGGGGTACTGGAACTCAGGGCCTCATGCTTGCTACACAGGCACTGTACAAGTTGAATCACTCCACCAGCCCTAAACCAAATATTTTAATAACCTCATTTTATCTAAAATAAAAATAACCAAATCCTTTACCCTTTGTTCTCCATCTCATCCCTAATCCTAGAATAATCCAGTAACTAATTCTCTCAGATTTCTTTTTTCAGTATTGGGGTTTGCACCCAGGGCCTCATACTTGCTAGGCAGGTGCTCTACCACTTGAGCCATTCCACCAGCCCTTTTTGCTTTAATTACTTATCAGATAGGGCCTCACGTTTTTGCCCAGGACTGGTCTTGGACCGTGATCCTTCTACCTATGCTACCTGTATTATGGGATTACAAATGTACACCACTATGCTCAATTTGTTTGTTGAGATGGGTATTATTAACTTTCTGCTGAGGCTGACCTCAAACTGTAATCCTTCTGATCTCTGCCTCCCAAGTAGCTAGGTTTACAGGTATGTGCCACCACACCCAACCATACCCAGCCTCTCTCTGTTCTTAAACTCAACCTATGAAGGTAGAAAAAAAATGCTTGACACTGAAGAAGTATTATTATAACATCACAACCTCCAGGAGCGGGGAGATGTAGCTCAGTGATAGACTAAACCTGGTATGCATGAGGCCTTTGGTTAAATCCCCAGCACTGCAAAACACACACACACACACACACACACACACACACACACACACACACACATAAAAAAACAAACAAACAAAAAAATCAAGTCACAACTTGCAGCTTAATTCAAACTCTCAATAGTTTCTGGCAGTTTTTTTTACTTCTGTGCATATTCCAGACCTTCACCTCATTCTTGAATCCCCTACTTATTCTGCCCTAAGGCCTCTACTTTATAAAGAAACAGCTTATCAGTAGTGAGCTCACTCCAGCTTCCTTCCCTTCCTTTCTAAAGATTTTTGGGATCAACTCCAGTCTTCCATCCACATTCAAAACTGTCTGTGGTCTGGATTTTAACTCCTCAATGCTAAGACTTCACTTTGTCAGCTCTTTCATCTGAATCTCATGTCATCAAGCTCTCTCTTCAGTGTTCATAGCATTCTGAGTCTTTCCCTCCCCAACCTTGTACTCTTCGTGTTCACACTTCTCTCTGTGGCCTCACTTCTTGTGGAAGAGCCTACATCCTCTGCCTGTATTGCTATTGTTCATGTTGTCTGCAGTCTGGTCTGCCTGCCACTACCACCACCTTATTAAAACCACCCTTCTTAAAATCACTGATGACTTCATGAACTCAGTTATTTTCTGAAATATAAAATCTATAGTAATGTACATTAAACATATATATGTACATTTAACAACCAGGCATTGTTGGCTCACTCCTGTAATCTTAGCTACTTGGGAGGCAATTGGAGAATCATCCTTCCACGCCAGTCTGGGCAAAAAGTTAGCAAGTCCCCATCTCAAACAATAAGAAGTTGGGTATGATAATGTGTGCCTGATAACCCAACTACTCCCAGCTAGGAGGGAAACACAAACAGGAGGATCCTGGTCCAGGTCATTCTGCGTATAAGTTCGAGGTATAAATGCAAGACCTTATTCAAAAAATAACTAAAGCAAAAAGGGCTGGAGGTATGGCTTAAGTGGTAAAGCACCTGCCTAGCAAGTGTGAGACTGTGAATTCAAATCCTAGTACCAACAACAACAACAACAAAAACTTGTAAAGTGAACATCCAAGCCATTGCTACTTAGGTGAAGAAATACACACAGAACATTTTCAGCAGCCCAGGCTGCAGCCCCTACCACAGCTGTATTCCTGTCTCATAGGCTAATCACTGATTGATATTAGTGCCAGTGATTCACTTGCTTTGCTTTATGGTGGTATTTTACTTTGTTTTGTCATTACTGTGGTCAAGATAATGAGCATATTGATCACACCAAAAGTGTCCTCCTGCCCCTCGTAGTCCTTCCTGCTCATCCCTCCCCCTCAGCCCCAACCAGGCAGCCATGGATCTGCTTTCTCTCACTATAGATCCACTGGCATTTTCTTAAGTATTACGTAAACAGTATCCTGCAGTTTGTCCTCTTTTCTGTCTGGCTTATTTCACTCAGCATACTTACTTAAACTTCATCCATGTTATTGCATATATCAGTAATTCATTCATTTTCATTACTTAGTAGTAGAGCTCATTGTGAGGACATATCACAATCTGTTTATTTCTTCATCAGTTAGTAGATATTAGGGTTGTTTCTAGTTTTGAGCCATTGTAAGTTAAGCTGCTATGAACATTTGTGTATGTATTTATATGGATATACACATTCATTTCTCTTGAGTAAATGCTGGTATAAACACGTAAAAGAAGTTAAATAAAGCCTGTAGTCTAATTTACAGTAGTAGACCAATGTCACTTTCCTGGTTTGGATGTAGCACTACATATATGTGTAAGATGTTACCACTGTGATAAGTTGGGTGAAGGGTACATAGAACTCCTTGTATTTTTGCAACTTCCCATGAATCAATAATTGTTTCAAAATAAAACATAATTGTATAAAACTGAGAAAATACAGATAGGCGAATTAAAAAATTCAAATTACCCATTTTCATATCATCTACAGATGATGATTTATATGTCAGAGATGGGGTCTTAACCATGTTGCCTAGGCTGGTCTCTAACTCCTGTGCTCAAGAGATGCTTCCACCTCAGCCTCCCAAGTAGCTGAGACTGTAAGCATATGCCACCAAACCTGGTTTAGGATCATTATTAGTAATGTTTTTATTTATAACGTTCCAGTATTTTTAATAGATTTTGTTTTTCATTGTGGCTGGTTTTACCCAAAAGATTTTATAACTTGGATCGAATGTATTTTTTTTCTTTATTAATATCATGGTATTAGGAAAAGTTTACTTTAATTTTTGGTGGTGCTGGAGTTGGAGCCCAAGACCTCACACTCACTAAGCAGGTGCTCTAGCCCTGAGCTACATCCTCACTCTGAAAACAATTTCTTTTGGGAGGGATGGATCAAAGGGTAGAGCGCCTGCTTTATAAACAAGAGCCCTGAGTTCAAACCCCAGTCCCACAAAAAAAAAAAAAAAAGACAGTTTATAGTTAAATATTCATTCAAATTTCATTCTAAATCATTTTCTTTCTTTTTCTATCCTCTAGTTGATGACAGTGCAATTTTGGATTGCCAGTTCAGTGAATTTTATCATACTCCTCCACCAGGTTTTGAAAAAATATTATTTGAACAGCAGATCTTCTGAATGTAGTTGTTTTCGAAACGTGTACTTCTGCACTGTTACAAATGTTTACCATTTAATAAAGCTTTATCTGACTTATAGATGAAAATATATTCTTAAAAAATTTGCTTGTTAATATTGTTTAAGGAACCAAGGTATTCAGTAAACCACCCAGAAATTGTGATTTAAAATAACTTATGCTTGTGAAATGAAAATCAGCATTTTGGGCAATTTATTTAATTCTTATTTAAATAAATATAACTATGGGTTGATTAACAGTATTACATGGTAACATGTAAATAAATATTTAAAGGGAATCTTTCTTATATAAAATAATTGTTTTGATAGAGATGTAGAGTTGGATTTTTTTTTGTCACTCATAGACATCATTAACTATTTTAGTCTCCAGTTCAATAATTTTGTGTTTCCTGTTTTTTTTTTTTTATATATGATATAACAAAGCAACAGAAATATATATTGGCAATTTCAGTTTTGGTGACCTATTTACTGTATTAATGTACAACTTTTCTTAAATTGCTTATTTTTTTGTATTCTATCACTGCTTTTGATTTGCATTGTGAAAAAAGATACACTTTAATAATCATCAGAGTATTTTGAAGACCATCCTGCTGCGTTACTTCAGTACCAGAGTAAGTGTGGTTGGTTGCTGATGTAGTGTACTTTGGCAGACATTTCCAAGAAGTATGATTATTTAAATTTTAATGAGAGGATTCTTTTAAGGACTTTATTAAAATATGTGTTTTCTGTACAAAATAATAAAGTAATAGTAATTAAGGAATATTCAGTACTATATTAAATATTTTTCCTGTTTATTAATTATACTGTGAATTCACTTCACCGTCTATTATTTTTGAAGTTTGGAGACAAGTGAGTCCTCTCCATAACCCTGATCCTTTGGTCAGTTTTCAGTGGAAGTCCTTGTCCTTTAGTTAATACCCTACTGACCTGGCTAATCACATCTCCAGGTACATTTGAAAGAGATGCCCACAATGAATACCCGTCACTGCTTTTATCAAGAAGCAGTATAGTATGTTGACTAGAGAAGCATGGGTGTTGGAATTTGAAAGAGATGTGAATTGTAGTTGTGTTTCCTGATCCCTTAAGTGAGCTCCTCACTGCCTTAGAATCCCAGGCTCCCCTGCTTATAAAAGGGATAATCATATTGGCTTGTTAAGGTTCTATAACTAATTGATAAGGTATCATATAACTAACATGATAAGACATAAAACACCTTAATTATCATAGGCACTGAATAAATGCCGTTTCCTGACTATAGTGAAGCAGTGGTTTTCAAGTGTGCCTCGGGCCAGCAGCAGTATCCCTGGAAGCTTGTTAGCATAATGTATGCTCTCAGGCCCAATCGGCAACTGGTGGAGGTGGCACCAGGAATGTATATGAACAAGCACTCAGTAAATCCAATACCCGCTAAGGTTTGACAACCACTACACAGAAGAGAATTCTTTGAGAGGATCTCCTGCTAGAAATTTTGTAAGGATTTAAGACAAACTATCTTTGCCTCATAAAGCGAGAGAATACTATACAATGCTAATTTATGATTGGTAGACAAAAATGTGACTGTGCTTTGAAAACATATACTTGAGTAACATACTTGTATAAACCCCCAACATTTTGGGCTGGCAGAGTGGCTCAAGTGGTACAGCGCCTGCCTAGCAAGTGCAAGGGCCTGAGTTCAAATCCCAATACCAAAAATAGAAGAGCAAAAACTCATTTGACCTCTAAAGATACATGGAATTGAACTAGGTATATGTTATTTAAACATTGTCATCTGATGTTTGTCATAGTAATTTTAATTCATAAAAAATGTGCTTATGTGGGAAAATGAATTAAAGTGGCTACTGCTTGCTGTCTTTGTAATGTCATCTACCTCTTAGTTATGTTTTTAAAAGCCAACCTTTTTATCATCACATTCTTTGCTGCCTCTTAATCATACAGAACAGGCATGGTGCTAAAAATGACACATGAGTTATATTCGTGGTAACAATGGGATGAAGTCTAGATGTGTCTAATCTATGTGGTATCAAATTCCTCTTAGGAAAATTACACTGGGCTGCTCTTCCTTCCAAAGCCAATAATACCTTTAGTCTCACCCTGAGAAAGACATCAAGACAAATTCCAAAAGCAGATCACTACAAACTACTTGACAGTGCCCTTCAGAACTGTCAAGGTGGGGCATGGTGGTGCACATCTGTAATCTCAGCCATGCAGAAGGTATAGGAAGGAGGATTGTGGTTCTGAGGCCAGCTCCAAGCAAAAACATGAGACCCTATCTAAAAAACAGCTAAAGCACAAAAGGGCCAGCGGAGTGGCTCAAGTGATAGAGTACCTGCCTAGCAAATAAAGTACCTGAGTTCAAACCTAGTACTAACCTCTCCCCCCAAAAAATGTCAAGGAAAGTCAGAGAAACTGTCACACTTCAGGGGAGTCTGAGGGGATATTACAAGTTAATATAATGTTTCCTGTATGGGATCCTAGAACAACAAAGGGACATTGGGTTAAAACTAAGGCAATCCCAATAAACCATGGACTTTGGTTAATACATTCATTATAATGAATACTATACTAATATAAGATGTTAATAGCAGAAACTAGGAGAGGACATAAATGGTAACTCTCTACAGTCTTCTCGATTTTTCTGTAAATCCAAACTGTTTTTAAAAAGTCCATTTTAAAAGTATATTGAGCTGGGCGCCAGTGACTCATGACTATAATCCTAGCTACTCAGGAGGTAGAGATCAGGTGGATCACGGTTCAAAGCCAGCCTGGGCAAATAGTTAGCGAGACCCTATCTCAAAAATACCCAATACAAAACAAGAATGGTGGAATGGCTAGAGTGGTAGAGCACCTGTTTAGCAAGTGTGAGGCCCTGAGTTCAAACCCCAGTGCTGTCCCCCAAAAAGAAAAAAAGAAGTACATTGAGCTAAAGGAAATACCAAAGTCTTTCACTAAGCCAATAGAATGACATTAGAACAGCATATACCTGTTAGTAGTAGCTACATATAAATGTAAACAGGACATAAAGCATTGTATTTTAACACACAAACACCAGCATTTATTCCTGGCTGAAGAAATGTTCACTGTTTTGATTCTGAATATTCTAATAGTCCAATTGTCTACACTAGTGTACCTTCTCACGCTTACAAAATTAATGATTATTTTTAGTGCAAGTTCAATAATTTAAACATTGCCAAGTGATATCAGTGTTAAATATGTGAAACTAAATGTGAATAATCAGATTATATATTAAAATCAGGAAAAAATGGCTGTTTTCTTTCCTTTTTTTTTTTTTGGCAGTACTGGGGTTTGAGCAAAGGGCCTTGCACTTTCAAGCCAGGCACTCTGCCGCTTGAGCCATGGCCCCAGATCTTTTTGCTTTAGTTATTTTTGAATAGGCTCTCAAGTTTTTGCCTGGGGTGACCTCAGACCCTGATCTTCCTATTTACATCTTCTGAGTAACTGGGATAACAGGCATGTACCAACCATGCCCAGTTTATTGGTTGAGATAGGGTCTCGATAACTTATTGCCAGGGCTGACCTCCTACAGATATCCTCTTGTTATCTGCCTCCTGAGTGTCTGGGACTGCAGGCGTAAATCACATCATCTTGACTGAGAATTTTGCTTTTAATTACCTTTGGCTCATTAGATAAGTTTGGAACATGTTTTCAACTTATGTTGCAAACTATTCTGAGTTAATTTAAGAATGGTATAAGATAAAATTATAGTTTGAATTAAGGCTTTCCTAAATATTAACAAACAGACAAATGCGTGGTATTTTGCTTACATTTGTTTATCTTGTTTAGTTCTTAATGTAAGTTTATATACAGACCAGAAGCATAGCTGGAAATAGGAGCAAAATCTTGGACATGGCAAAATACATTAAACTGATAATTTCCTTTACATAGTGCAAAAACACTAAATAAGATTGTGAGGTGAGGAATCTGTAACCCAACTAAAATTTTCTTGTATACAGACAGAGCCAAACATGGTGTCATAAATGGAATATAATCAGCTGCCACTTACATTAATTTGTACTACTTGTGCAACCTGGCCGGGAAATATGTTGGGAGCTGATTGGACTATTCATGTGAATGACTGGAAATATAATAGTAGAATCATTTGACTATTGTTCTTCCATTTGCTGAATCAGATGAGACTCCCTTTCAACTTACTCTTTTAAAATAACTGGAACCAAGTTATGAAATAGCTGGGTGTGATGATGCATGCTTATAATCCCAGCACTTGGGAGGCTGGCAGGAGGATCAGGAGTTCAAGGCCACCATGGGCTACATGGTAAAACCCTGTCTCAAAAAAATCTAAAAATAAATAGTACAAACATAGAATAATATTAGATATAATTACCAATGTAAATGAGTATACTCCATCCAAGAATAATATAGAAATATAAAGGAAAAATTGTGCCGTTATTAGGTGAAGGGTATAATTTGTAGTTACATAGGAGTCATTGCAACACAGTCATTCAGCAATTGAAGCAACTATGTGTTGTGTTTCATAAATACTTAAATAAGGTAGCCTGCCTTTAAGGAACATTGCTACCTGTAATTCATTCCTAAATATGACTACAATAACCAAGATCCATTAATAAGGGAAAATGAAGTTTGTTAAACAAACTTATAGTACATATAGTCTGTCCATTTTTTAACAAAACCTAGAACCTCACACATAAGAAGTATGAAGTAATGTACACAAAAATATTTTATCTTTGGAATAAGATTATGGGAAACTGGCTCTTTTATTATCCAGTCTCTTTTATTATCTGATTGTTTTTAAATACTGAACTTGTATTTTTTTAATTTTAAAAATAATTTTAAGAAATATAAGGAAAAAGAGGCCCTGGATGAAGGCCTGTGTACTGGACATTGATACTTTACATTTGCACCTACAAAACCTGAAAGGTGGCAGTAGAAACCCAACTCAGGTGGCTATAGGGTAGAATGAGTTCCCTGGCGATCTGATGAAAAGGATCCAGATGCATCAGTCCACAGCAACAGAGCACACCCAGTCCTCAGATCCAGGGAGGTACCAGTGCCAGTAAAGCCACGTGTGTGGCACACCAGTTGTCACAGACACTGCAGTTTAAAAAGGACACTCATAAACCAGTGACAGTACAAGGCTGCTGAGGTTCTGCTAGTTAATCTATGAATGACTGAACAATTCTTAAGAATTGTTAAAATAGTCAATGTTAAAGGAATGTTAAAATGTTCAATCCACTAGGCTATTGAAGATAAAATGACTTGTGGAATGTTGCTCATTATAGAAAGGTCCATAGATTCCTGATTCCCATAATGTATTTCAGCAAAGACAGACAGATGTGTTCATGTATTTAATGGTTCATTACTTGAAAAAAGAAAAAAAAAAAAGGATTTATTCTCTGCTGCCCTGATGGCAGAAATAGCACTGATAGTTGCAGGTGAGAGGAATAGGTTTCAGCAGAAGATGGAAAAGAACTTCCCCATTAGTTCTCTGCTGCAATTGCCTCGCAAAGGAATGAGCTTTGTGTCCTAGAATTGTTCTAACAGACCGTTTTAAAGTGTAGGTTGTATTTTCATTCATGCATGGTGTCTTAGTCCATTTTATGCTGCTATACCAGATACAACTGACTGGGTGATTTATAATGAACATTTATTTCTCACATTTCTGGAAGCTGGGAAGTCCAAAATCAGCGTCAGCATCTGGCAGGGGACTTGCTGCTTCATCCCTTGGCTGAAGGCATCACATGGCAGAAGGGACAAAGCAGGGTAAGAGAGCAACAGGGGATGAATCTACTGCCAATAGCAGCATCCACCCATCCATGAGAGCCATGCCCTCAAACCCAGACACCTCCCATTAGGTCCTGTCTCCCAACGCTGCTACCTTGAAGGTCAAATTACTAATACATAAACTTTTGGGGTGCACATTCAAATCACAGCACATGGGGAGGCTAACAAATCACAGAATGATTGCCATTGAAAAGGGTAGTCTGCAACCCACAGTTCTCAAGAGAAAAGGACTTACAGTCTTGTGAAATGCTAATTATTCTAGGAAATTAACAGTGCAAGGCCAGGGCTGTAGTTCAGTGGCAGAGTACTTGCCTAGCATGCACAGAACCCTGGGTTCAGTGCCCAGCATGTCAAGGCAGAGGGAGTGAGGGAAGAGCATGGATACCAATTTTTATTGTGGTTTCCATGGGTGAGGCAGATTTAGGATTGGCTAATTGAATAGTGCTAGTGGGCTCTGTTGCATAGGGACTGTCTCTAGTTGGTTTTCGGACCTGGGGTGACCAGTACAAGGGAATATTGACCTGAAGTGTAAGAGCCTTACCCAAGAGGTGGGCATTCTGTGCTGGTTGATTTATAAAACAAAAAAGTGCATACCACCTGACAGGAAGAGCTTTTTGCTCTGTCTGGGAATTAGAAGGGGCTGCCCCTTCCCTGTCAGCAAGACCACAGATGCCAGAGCATGAAGCATACAGAACAGAAGAAAATACAGTGAATGCCCAGGCTGCGGGCTATCCCAAAGATCTTATAACTGGTCACTGCTTCCTTAGAGACCATGGTAGATGTCTTCTGAAACTCACCGTGCTGACTCAGGTTGTTGCTAGGTCCTCAACCAATTAAGGTGAAACAAGCATATAGGAGATAACGATCTCCAGGGATTCTTATGTATAATAAGATAGATAGATAGATAGATAGATAGATATAAATATTTATCATATTAAGATATATGCTAAATCAGCAAAAGAATGATATAAAGTTTATTTAGGAATCTTATCCTGGCACAACAGAGCAAACCAGAGTTGGAAGAAATGACAAGTGATGAACAAACCTTTTTGATTTGGGGCAAACAGTCAAAACTATGAGTATA